TCAAATGCAAACATGTATGTGTGTATATGTACGTACTATCTGTAAGTATTATGTAATATTTTTGTATGTTTTACATTAGTGGCCTCATAATGTCATTTTCTTTTGTCTTTTCAATACTGCGGATTGAACTAGGACTGCTTTGTCACTGAGCTACATCTCTAGCCCTTTTTATTTATTTTGAGACACTGTCGTACTAAGTTCCCCAGACGGGTGTTGAATTTGCAATCTTTTGCCTCAGCCTCTGGAGTGGTAGCATTATAGGTGTGTGGTATGGTGCCTGCGTATTTTATTTTCAAAACAGCATGTGCGCACACATACACACACACACACACACACACACACACGTCCCCCCAGCCACTCAACAAAGAAGATTTAGAATCCTAAATGAGATTTTAAACGTCATGGTTTACAGTGGTGAAATCAGGCCAACTAGGCAAGTCTTAGTGACTTAGTGAGACACTGTCTCAAAAAATAAAAAAAGAGTTGGGGATATAGCTTAGTGACAAGGCCCTGGATTCAATCCCCAGTACTGCAGGAAAAAAAAAATTTTTTTTTAATGTATTCCAGGGCACCCCTTGAATAGCAGTGATGCATTGAGATCTGTTGTTACACAGTTTAGGAACCAGGAGGCAAATCAAATTTTATACAGACTTGTTTTCCGCCTTTCTTTGAGGATAGAAAATTCAAATATAGGAACACCGTCCTTGTCAGCTTTGTGTCATTGTGACCAAATACCTAAGATAAACAACTTAAAAGAGAACAGATTTATTTTGGCTCATAGTTTCAGAGGTTTCAGTCCATGGTCACTCAGGTTCATTGTTTCTAAGCCTGTTCTGAAACAGAAATCAGAGAGGGTATGACAGCAGAGCAGCTCAGTTCATGCTACCCAGGAGCAAGAGGGAAAGAGTAGAGATGAAGGGGGTGGGGGGGTGTCAAGGACAAGATATAGTCTCGTTTTACCTAGTCTTTCATTTGTTCTTTAGATAATTTGTCTTTCAGCATTTGAGGGAGTACATAAATGACATGTGGGGGGCTTGGGGAGATGGGATAAAATAAAATGTATTTAAAAATTAATAAATAACATGTGATTGTGCTATGGTCAGACTCTTTAGTCTTAGTATTCCATGCATATCAGACATGATGGTTCAAATAGAACATCTAAACTGCAGGACCTAATGGAGGAAAGGAGAACACGTTAAGAGACTTGCAACATACATAGACCTTTTCTCTCCACATCTTGGGGCCAGGAGGTTGAGTGATGGTTGGATATTGGTGTTCATATAAAGCTAGACAGAAAAATGGCAACAGTGGTCTTAGCTAGCTAAAGGTCCAGGAAAGATTTCCTTTCATTTTTTTTTTTTTTTTTTTTCTTTGGTACCTGGAATCGAATTTGGGACCTTGAGCTCGTGAGGCAGGTGGAGGAACCACTGAGCTAAATCCCTGGCCAGAAGACTTACTTACTTTCTTTTTTTTTTTTGGTATGGGGGATCAAACTCGGGACTTGGTGCTTGTGTGGCAGGCTCCAGAACCACTGAGCTAAATCCCCAGCCCCTTACTTTCATCTTTTTAATTAATATGGTTTTTTTTACTGACATGTAGAAATTGT